GACCTATTATATTGAATAAATATTTTTGATATTCTTTCAATTTTATTATAGGTTATATTGTYCATAATGTGACGCAATTTAATTGTTTGGCTTCAATTACATCAAAATTCTGTTTACTRAGATAAAAAATAATCGTAAAGTGTACGTCATATTATGMATATTGTAACGTAAGATTAGAAGTCTTAATTTTTTTTTTTGGAGGGGACTCGATTATTGTTAATGCTTAAACTTTTTTTTCTTTAAATTCAAAACTTTATTTACAACACTTAATGATATGGATGGGGACGATGGGGTGTATACTTGTATACGGAATTTATAATTTAATTTAAACTACCACACAGTTTCAACAGGCAAGCTTTTTTGTCAGTGGTTTTTATTTACATAATCCCAAAATATCGATAAATTCTTGTTTTATCCTTTACTTAATATATTCTGATCGTAAACATTACACCCTTTTCTAATACGAGATACATACGTACATTTCCCCAACATGCGATAAGCAATAACAGACAATAACACATATAAATAATAAATGCATTGATATCGCAAAATCCAAAACGGGTGGATGATATAAGTGCGTTTATTATTATAAAAACCGGACGGTTTTGACTTATAAATTAGGATTTATAAATGAATTCTGCTTATTGTCGAGACGTAAAAAAACGACATCTGGCCGATGGCTGAATGATTGATATTGGATGAAACTTGTTTTTTTTTTTTTAAATTTGAAAATGTAGTGGTTAAATAATGTTTTATTGTAGGATCTGAAACAATTGTTTATAGTATCCGACCACGTGCACCAGATTACTAAGTATCTATAAAAATTTTATTTTATTGTTTATGTAGAATATCCTCCTGAGATTTGCCTTATATTATCAAAACTTATTATTATACTGACGTATAAATATTTATATATAATGACATATTTAAAAATAATAAAAACAATTTACCGTTTCCACCAATTTACTTGTTGTGATCAAAGTATTACGAATCAACAAAGATTCAAATATAACATTTTTATAGTTCACGGATATATGTATGTTATATGTACAGTATATATATATACTTAAATAACTTACATATTTAAATATTTTGATATAAGTTGTATTAGTTATTGTAATATAAACCCAAGCAACATTATTTCAAGTTAAAAGGTTGGATTAAATATTCCATTATATTTCTATAAATAATACTCGATATTTATTTTACACAGGTACTCAAAACTCATGAAAATTCAAAATGTAMTTCAAAATACGAAATGCACATATCAATAATATTACCAATTCAGGTATTGATATATGTTACTGAAAATTTAAATAAATCCTTTTTTAAATTGGTGGAAACGGATGATGAGGGAAACAGTATCTACCTAATTTTATAAATGTTAATGGAAATCTGTTAACAGTAGGTTTATGCTCATTAGTTCGTCAATGCCATATCATTTAATCCTTAATTTCTATGGTTTTTTATATGGCATATATTGCTATAGGTTCTATAGTTTTTCTCGACTTGAGTTTAAGCTTTAATTGGTTAAGTTGTTAGAAACATAAATTACACAATAATTTAAATAATAAAAATATTTTCTGATATACATCGATATTAAAATGTTTCAGTTTTGAATACATAATTGTAGCCAGATGAGCATATTTAATGATATTTTAGAGCACAAATTAATTAATATTCCGACATTTTTTTTTAGGAAATKAAGTCCCTAATCTTAACTTTAGCTGACTCGACTTTTTGCGTATTGTTTTTTCAACAAAGTTGTTTAAAGTTACAGCGATTGGTGGATGGGCCGCGTTCATAAACAACGCAAGAAACGCGTCTGTGTTTGAATAGTAACGAGTTGTTTTCGGGCTATGCAGRCCGTGCGCTATTGCACCCGATTGCCGCGCATTCGCGCAACGACAACAAACGAAATCGAACGTCGTCGGTACGCACGTACTGTTCATCGCCATCATTACTAAAAAAACACAGCCGCCAAACACACCGTACCGATGATGCGCCCATCAACGGCGGTGCTAGTGCTACTGCCGTGTATCATCTTGATATGGCCATGGTCATGGTTCACCATGGTCACGGCCTTGTTTACCGAGCTCCCGGAATCACAGTTTGCGGATCAGATGGCACTATTTCGACACGTGCTGCTCAACGATGTCCAGTGGTCGCCGATACTCAAGCAGAAGGTCAAGTTGTCCGAGTTCAGTCCGCCTAGATATGTGAGGTTAAATTCCAATGACGAAGAGGTGAAAAAGATTGAGCTGATCACCGAAAACGATGATCAGAATCCGACGGCCATGTATGTGCTRCAGAAACTGATGGACAAATCTTCCCTACGTTCGGGAACCAATGTGGATTTCACCGCRTACGTGCTGAGTACCGCGGTCACATGCTTTACGTATAACAACGTATCGTTTGTGCTGATGCTGCTTGTCGATCGCATTGGCACGTTGGCGCGCAAAGTTGTCAAAAATAAAGACGACAAGAAGAAGGATATAAAGGAGGATGCAAAAGAGGATGCAAAAGAGGATACAAAGGAGAATGTAAAAGAGGATACAAAAGAGGAAGTGAAAGATGACGAGGATAAGAAGAAAAATAAGAAGAAGAATAAGAAGAATAAGAAGAATAAGAAGAATAAGAAGATCAAAAAACTGATCAAAAACACGCTGGATGATGTGCGTATGACATTTGAAGTATTCATGGACAAGATTGCTGCAGTGGACGGTGAGTTGGCGTTCTTTGCCAATACGCTGTACTTCTACGATACTGCGGAAACAGCCTCAGACTACCTCGTTAAGTTTAATGTTCTTGAGATGGTGAAGAAAGAGGTGGACATGAGGATTGATCAATACTGTTACATCACCCCCCATACAGAGATATACCAGTACTTGGGCAAGTATGACATTTTTGACGTTTCTCCAACCCCATTAAATGAACTCACACCTGACGATCCAACACTTAGACGCGAGTTGGAAGAGTTTGAAAAGGTGATCGACTGCATGCTAGACGTTTACGATGCGCTAGACGTTCAAACGATGCCCATGAAGACTTGGACACATATTCTTCAATACGATAAACCGATCGCTATGTCCATCAAATTGTACATAGATGACACGGATAAAAAGCCTAATCCCAATGAAGTCATGTCAGATCGATTAAAGGAAGCGATGAAAAAAAATCAAGAAGAAAGTAACGTGGAACCCTTAAACCACAAAGAAGGACAACCCGAAGGGACGTTGGAAAATACATGAATAGAAAATATTATACGTTTTTAAATATCCAGTATATGTGATTGCGTATTATGCACATTTATTCATAATTTGTCGTTAACAATATAACTGGAATAATCATTGTAATTAAGGTAAATTTATATATTCTATATTCGATATTGCGTGTTAATATTATATATTACAGTACCTATAAACAATTATTAAACATTAAATTCTATTATATATAAGCGAAACTATACTTTTATTGTAATATAATAATGTTAGTGACATGTTTTTATACTAGCATTTTATTATTTTTATTATTCTTGCATAACAATATTATTTCTCTTAATGTATTTTGTTAATTACTATAAAATCGAAATTATATTGAAGTATCATTTCCGACATCAAATGATTATTACTCACAACCTAAAGAAAGTGTTTACTGTTCATAGGATATAATAGATATTATTATATCTATATATTTCAAAATGATCATAACGTTGAGCAAAAAAAAAAAAACGTGTTTTGTGTATAAATGATCATTTATATTATCATAATATGATAATGTTTAAAATCAAAGAATATAATATGGCATTATAAACACATCATATCATGRCAACGTAAAATCCAATATTATAATGCATCACCTACCGTCACTGAAGCTTATAAAAATGATGACAGTTAAAATATAATAGCTAGATACTCATAGGTATATTATATTCACTAATCATAATTATTCAGTGAAGACAATTTTTGAGCGAATAGTTATAGAATGTTTTTTTTTAAATTTAGAATCAAAAATTCACATAACATTATTACGCTTGGATTTTCATTCTACAGTTCACTCACTATTTTTTAATTTTTTTTTACTATTTGAGATAATTTAGTTACTCTGGAAGAACAATATGAACATTTAACGCGTACCTAATACAAATACAACAAATTTGAAAAATATTATTTAAAAAAATCAAATTATTCAGATTTTTTTTTTTCATTTTCAGTTGATCTACAATCGATACAGTTTTGCATAATATGTAAGTTCAATAAAAGACAAATATATGTAACAACAAAGAGTATTAAGACTAGAGAGGTTATCGTTTAATAACAACCTACAAAATTCAAATATGTAAACACATTTACAAAAATGTATATTATTACAATATCGTCAATATCTATATTTCATGTATATGTTTGTAGTTAATCTCATTTACATAATGGTATTATACTATTATGCATAGTAATTGTTCTGTATTTGAAGGTAATGGTTTATTCATCGGTAAACTTTATCGATAACTACTACAATTTAAAAATGTCTTAGGAAAAAATATTGGAAAWAATTATTAAAATAAATATTCTCAAACAAAAATCCTAAAGATAATTTACTATCATATATGACAAATTCTTAAGAAAAAAAAATAATTATATTCAAAACCTCATTTAAATCCGATTTTCGGTTATACACAAAAACTTTAAAGTTATGTTAAGTAATAAATTAAAATCAAAAAAAAAAAATATGTTTTAATTAAAATTACAATTTTGACTAAACTTGATTCCCTCTAAAATGTTTAAAAAAAAAACCAGTCGTAAATGCTTTAAACTGACTGGTTTTTTCATAATAATATATAGTTATAAACACTGTGACACACTGTGGTCGGATTTTCTTACAGTGTATGAAAATCACTATAAATATAATTACATCATATTCAATATTTTGTAGGTATAGGTAATATTAATATAATAATAATATTATAATCAATTTCTCATGTAATATGAGGAATAGAMACGATTGACATAAAATCRATCTTTTTTACTATGCAATAGTGTTTGAGGTATAATAAATAATATACTGCGTGTCTAAACGATATTTGGATGAATAATTTTAGATTCTGAGCGGAGCGATGA